GGTGCTAGCGCCGTGGCGATTGCCGCTACGAAACGCCGCCCGTGCAGTCCTTCGCACGCACGCGACGCGCCCCGTGGTCACCTGAGGTCACCTGCTCACGGCAGCTCACCTCCCCGCCTGGAGGGTGTTGACGTCCCGTGGAGTCTGGAGCGTTGTTTTTAAAATTGCGGTTGGTTTAAAAACAAGCGGTTTGATCCATTGCCAGCACGGTTGGCTACGTATGGCGCGAAAGAAGTTCAACGTACATACGCGCTGATAGTCAATTTTCTCTTGGTGACGCAATTCAGTCGAGCAAATGAGACTATTCTGGTCTGTTGAGTTTTCTCGTGGTTTAGCCAATAGAAGCCGACTTGAAACTTGACTTCTGTAAGGAAAATCTGGGTCTCCTATTTACATGGCAAGCGTGGTTCATCGTTATCAGCCATCATCAATCCACTGCTGGATAAATGCTACCCCAGGCCATCACCGTCTCTCTCACGATCCCACGGCGTACTAATAACAAACACGCTCGACCCCCACACACGAGCCGATGTTATCGCTCCGTCTCCGCGCTTGACATCCTCTCGTCGACACATTTTATCCCTTGGCTGCACACTCCGTGACGTGTTCCCTACCCAAGCCCACGTTTCTTAACACTTGTAATTCCATTATTAACCCACGCGTGTTCTCCCATCCGCGTGTTCCCCTTTCAGACTCTCTCGGCGCAATTCCAAGCCCGCGCCTTTCCAGGCTTTTTTTGCACTCACTTTCTTTTTGGCCGTATTTGTTCGGTCGACGACCAACGGTTGTTTCTGAACCGCACTTCACAGCAGGCACCACGTGCGCCCGTGCGTTGAACTTCTTCCGCGTCGGCCGCAAGTAGCCGGTCACGCTCATCGGAGCCACGCGTCGATTTAAAGATGTGCCCCCCCCCCCTCTGGGGCAACACTGCTAGGTTACTTTTCGTCATCGAGTTCTGATTCGAGTCCTCGACGCTGCTCTCATCCGCTTCTCTTGTCGTTTTGTTCACGGCGGACGCCACCAACGCCCCCCCCCCCCCCGTCTGTACTCTGCTGCGTTACCTTCCGGTCTCGTGTCCCCCTCCACGAGAGGTCACCGCTCGTTGAGCGTTACTCGTCGTACGTGACCCCGTTTTAATATTTTTTTATCCCGAGCCCAACTTGGCGGACCTTCGCGCCCCTCTGTCGAGATCTTTTCACATTTCCCGCGGTTTAAGTTCCCGTTGGACGATGCGTTGTCTGCTTGTCCTCGACAAATCAGAGACGGTGAATAATGATTTTGTCCGTGTATATTCCGCGCCGTTATTTCTCAAATCGAACTTTCGGAAAATATTGCCGTACGGCTTTGCTGGGAATAACTTTGGCGAAAGCGCCGCCAGCATCGGCGCTCCTCGTTCAATCTCAGCGTGGCTCTTCTGTTCCTCTAGAGACACGTTATTGTTTACGAATATCTTATTTGTTATCCAGGCCTCGGCTTACGAGGGCTTGGCTGACTGCATCAATTTCCACCGAGATGGTAGTCTACAACGGCGAGGCGTAATGGTGTTTTATATATTCATTTAGCTTTCCAGAATCTGATTCGTCGTATGTTATGTGGTCGCTGAGAGAGAACCCTTTCCTAAACCCTACCCATTCAGGCGGTCGTGTGGCCTCTAATTTGTTAATTATTCTGTTCCCATGATCTTCCTGAATGATTTCTATACGTGAGATAAGAGGGTGATAGGCCAGTAGGTTCTCGAGTCGGTTTCATCACCCCTTGTTTAGTAGTATAATTATTAAGGCATAATTTAAACATCTCAATATAGGGCCACTGAGACTGGGCAATTATCGGTGGCGCCAATTCTGGCTGCCTTCCCGCTTGGCTGTGCTTTCCCACGCCTCCGTGCGAAAACCGTGCTCGTTATGAATCCTACAGCATGTGTGAGATGTCACCGGCATGAATGGTGCTAAGTAGAAAACATTACGATGAATAATGTCTCGGAGAAGCAAACGAGCAGCGAGACTAAAGGGCACAGCGAGCGAACGTCCCCGGGAAATGTGGCCTCACGTTAAACAGGCGATTGAAAAACGACGTGCAAGCGTAAGCTGCTGACATGATTCCATGCAAACGGTTTTTGTTTGGTGTTTGAACATCGTGACGCCTGTTTTATTGCCAGAAAGGGGTAAAACCTACTGCTTATACGTGAACTGCTGTGATCACAGGAAAAGGAAAAATCGGAAGCGAGCACAAGTTAGTTTGTTGCGCGGCCGCTCTCACATTGCGGAGATCTCCCCCCGAGATGTTGACAACCTACGAAGTGTGGACACGATTCCTGGCCAGGGGAAGCCAACCCGGTCGAGACACCGCAGGAGCCCTTCCCCTCCCCCCTCCCACCGTGGGCTCGTTCTCCGGCAGAATTCCGTCGAGGCCTCCTGCAGTGGGCCGTGGCACCGGGGGACGAAACGTTTGTTTCTCCGCAGTCGCGTGCTTTGCCTTTGTGCGCCATCACAGCTGGGCGAGGCCATTTTGGTTCAAACGCCAAATTGTGAAAGGGGACCGGTGTTTTGTTGTTGTTGGCGACTTGGCCGAGACGCTCAAAGTCTCTGGCCATGGGAACATTTGAAATGTGTGTTTCAACCACAGGTCATCGAGGGCTTAACACGTAGACCTCAGTGCTGGCCAATGAATACCCTCACAATTTGGGTCACAGTGATGAAAAGATAATATGATTTTTTTTTACCCTTTCCAGCAATAATACAAGGTGTAAAGATGTCCAAACACCAAATAAGACATTTTTTTTTTCATACCGGCATTAAAATAAATGTCCCCCTAGATAATTCGTTCAGTCACAGCTTTTAAATATCGAGGGCTGTATCGCCAAATGCCCACGGAGAAGCATCACTCCGGTAGCCGGAGGGCTGCCCACACAGCCATAGACTGCAAACCTCGGGACAAATTGCAGAGTCAGAGGCTGGGTCTATAGAAAGACAAAAAAACTGCGACTGAGACGGTCGTAAAGTTCAGAATAATACCACAAAGGGGCTTGGGGACAGCCTGGGCCACCGTGGAGATCAACGTCAGCGATTCGGCGCCACGTAACCGAGTCGGGTGGTGGGGGTTGGTGGATCACACGCTGATTTGTTGACGCTCCCAAACGCCCCTCCGCTGCCCTGCGAGACGTCGCCATCTCCTGGCTTGGCGAGGGAACGGGCAGCGCAGCGAGCGGGCTCACACTCCAGCTGCTGTCGACGTGGAGGGTACGGGGACCCACGAAGGTCTCACGTTGGCTGACGAGGGCTTCAACGGTGCACACGCGCAGCCCGCTGCCACCCGGCCGCACGACGAGGGTTCGCCTACGCCGTGCGGGTCGTGGAGGTTGTTTGGCCGTGCTTCACCGCGCTGGTCAGTGCGGGTTGACGGAGGCAGGGAGCAAAAGACGTGGAGCGTAATAGCGCGGTTGGCTACGTACGGTGTGAAAGAAGTTCAACATACATATGTACATACGTATACTGGTCGCCCATCCTAACACTTTCCAGGCTCAAACTCCGCTTAGCTTCTCAGATCTGACGAAATCCGCCGCATCTCTGTCAAATTGGTCAGAGGCGACTTCAAATGTACTCGCTGAGATCGAACATTTTAATGACGACGCTGACTCACCCGGGAGGATCCCGCCAAGGTTCCGTCAAAGGCCGCGACGATGTTACGGGCAATCCGAATTAAGTGATTTGTAGGTAATTCTTCAGCACTAAGATGTTCGTCTAATGCCAGTTACAGTCACGTGGTGTGGTGTTTTGAATTAATGCAGAGAGGAGGGGGGGGGGCACATACAAACTCGAACCCGTGCGCTTCTTGCTGCGAGGCACGGGTGCTACCACTGCACTGCCACCCCCGTGATCCAAACTGAACAGCTTGAATCACATGATCATCTGTAGGTCTCTTTTGTTCGTTGCCACGAGAGTTGGAAACGCAGCCAGGTCGAGGATTAGCAGCTCTGACTAATCTCCCTTCCTGCAGCCTCTGGTTCACTCTGAAATGTATGGCTTTTTTTTAGGACTAATGCTGATTCAACAATAATATGTTAATAATTCATTCATGTTCATTAGTGCACTGGGGGAGGGGTGGGTTGGGTTAATGGAGATGTCCTTTTGAAGGACAGAACCCGGCTAACCACAGACTCGGATCACCAGAGTGAGAGCATAGCAGCTGTGACTCATTAACTCCGTGGCCAAAGCACTGTGACCCATCAACCAGGCACGAATAACATCCCCACCTACCAGCCCCTCTACGAGCATTAATGAAGTTCTAAAACGATTTACCATTTTTGTATTTTATTTTACCAGGGTAAGGAGGCCCACTGAGCTAAATAGCGCATTTTTTTCAGAAGCGACCCGGTTATCGCAAACGACAGTGGGTCGTGGTGTGATAACTGCGCAAAAACGGTGGTAAACCGGTCAATGCCGATTTTGCCGCACGTGTAGGAATATCCAGAGCAGCAAACGGAGCAGTGTCAGATTTTTATCTGAGATACGGAGGGAGCTGCCGCCACCATCTAGCGGCGCGGCAATTCAAACAATGGGCCAAGTTTATTGAATCCGCCCATTGCACCCACTCTGTCCTCCCAGGAGTACAAATGGATCCACCGCAGTTGATCCGCAGGTCACGCGTGCTGGTGATGATGAGGTAAAGCGTGGGTTTGCTCATCTCGTTCGTTCCTTTCTCAGCCGGCTTATCCCGGGGAGGGTCGCGGCGGCAGCATGTTAGGCAGGGCGGTCCAGACCTCCCTTTCCCTTGCGACGGACTCTCGCTGTCCTCGGTGGAAATTCCCAGGCATTCCCAGGCCAGCCGAGCGACGTCGTGCCGCTAGCGTGTCCTGGGCCGGGCTCTTCGTTCGCTCATCTCTTCCTACTTAAAATTCAACTTTCGGAACTGATCGTTGATATCTGACCCGGTAACAGTGACTGTGGCGACGACCCCGATGATGAGGAGTGGACATGTAACTCCTGGTGTTCTCTGGTGCACAGGCCCGATCAGCAGCATCCTGGTGAACCGGTTTGGGTCACGCCCGGTGGTGATCATCGGAGGGATGCTCGCTGGCCTCGGGATGATCATCTCCTCCTTCTGTACCAGCATCGTGCAGCTCTACATCTGTGTGGGCGTCATTGGAGGTCAGTCCGTGCACGCACGCGCACACACGTGCACACACGCACACAAAGACAAAGATCCCTCGTGTAGCCTTAACAGACTGTTGGGGCAAGTGCTGTTAGCGAGCACCTTTGAAGGCCGGCACGGCACACGAAGGGGTGGGTGGCCAGCACCACGCCCTGCCGCCTTTGTCTCCCCAGTGGTGATGTTTACTACACACAGCACCACGTACTCATTTGAGGCTGAGTCGACCGAGGGGGGAGGTCTAGGACCGGTTAAGATGATCGTCACTGGCGTTGGCCGCGAGCGGGAATCGAACTCAGGTCGCCGGGTTCGTAGCGCAGTGCGCTAACCGTTACACTACCGCTCCCCACACGCGCACACACACGCGCACACACACGCACACACACGCACACACGCACGCACACACACGCGCACACACAACAACAAGAACCGCCATTCACCACTAAGTGACGGTGACGTCACCACGACGCTTGTGCCAGGCTATGTGCACCCTGAGGCCACGTGAAGTGTCGAACGCCCGCTGGCAGGAGGTCACGGGGCAGACCCAGGTGCCACGGGTCGACTGACTGAGATGACTGGCTGATGCACCACCTGTGCCCCCTACTGTGCCGACCTGCTGTGCTTTAGCCACCCGGCGCTCCGCTCGTTGTTGTGAGCGTTGCTCCTCCGTCCTCCGTTGTTGTTGGAGGGCGACTACCTCCAACTGCCCAGTAGCGTCCTTCACGAGCCTCCTCCACAGAGGCCGATCTTGACACCGCTGGTACCAGTCATCGGCAAGTCCACTCAGCTCCACGTTCTCCTGTACCACATCACTCCATCTCTTCTCTAGCCCGTGCCGCGCCCGTTTAGCCCCCTCAATCCAGCCGAACAAAAGCTGTTTCGGCATGCGGTGGCTGGGCATGCGGGCTACATGACCCACCCATCGCAGCCTTGCCCGCCGGAGGAGCTCACCGATGGGACCTTGCCCAGATCTTTCAAGGATTTGTGAGCTCCTCGCACAATCCAGTCTGGTTAAACCCAGGATGGATCGTAGGCAGGCCAGCCTAAATGTTTCTAACCGGCGAAGATGTTCCATTAGGGGGGTCCACGTTTCGCAAGCGTAGAGAAGGGAGGGAATGACCATGGCCGAGAAGACCTGAAGCTTAGTGCGGAGCGACAGACCAGGTAGCTTCCACACAGCGTTACGCAACCGATGAAAAGATATTGCCGCTCGACTGATTCGGAGTGAGACCTCTGCTGTTAAATTGGAGCCGGTCGGTGCACACACACACGCGCACACACACACGCACACATACACGCACACATACAGGCACACATACACGCACACACACACGTACACACACACGCACACACACATACATACATGCACACATACACACATACACGCACACATAGACGCACACACATACATACACGCACACACACATGCACACACACACGCACACACACACATACATACACGCACACATACACGCACACATACAGGCACACATACACGCACACACACACGTACACACACACGCACACACACATACATACATGCACACATAGACGCACACACATACATACACGCACACACACATGCACACACACACGCACACACACACATACATACACGCACACATACACGCACACACATACACGCACACACACATACATACACGCACACATACACGCGCCCTGTGGCTGGAGTCACAGCAGAATTGTCTCGCAGTCAACTTGCCCCGGAGCAATGTTACTCCCTCCTCATCCCACCCAGTCTCCACCCAGGACCCACCCAGGACCCACCCAGGACCCACGCTGGGCAGTAGTTGGGGCTGTCTCGAGTGTGGCGCCTAAGATGTGGAACTCTCTTCCACCGGCCCTCAGATTGGCTCCGAGCACCGAACAGTTCATGAAACTCTGCGAGGCCTCTTTTCTTTTTAGCTTTTCCTTTAATGTGTCCTATCATTTTTATATTTTTATATGCATCTTGATTTATACAGTGAGGGAAAAAAGTATTTGATCCCCTGCTGATTTTGTACGTTTGCCCATTGACAAAGAAATGATCAGTCTATAATTTTAATGGTAGGTTTATTTGAACAGTGAGAGACAGAATAACAACAAGAAAATCCAGAAAAACGCATGTCAAAAATGTTATAAATTGATTTGCATTTTAATGAGGGAAATAAGTATTTGACCTCCTCTCAATCACAAAGATTTCTGGCTTCCAGGTGTCTTTTATACAGGTAACGAGCTGAGAATAGGAGCACACTCTTAAAGGGAGTGCTCCTAATCTCAGCTTGTTACCTGTACAAAAGACACCTGTCCACAGAAGCAATCAATCAGATTCCAAACTCTCCACCATGGCCAAGACCAAAGAGCTCTCCAAGGATGTCAGGGACAAGATTGTAGACCTACACAAGGCTGGAATGGGCTACAAGACCATTGCCAAGCAGCTTGGTGAGAAGGTGACAACAGTTGGTGCGATTATTCGCAAATGGAAGAAGCACAAAAGATCTGTCAATCTCCCTCGGCCTGGGGTTCCATGCAAGATCTTACCTCGTGGAGTTGCAATGATCATGAGAACGGTGAGGAATCAGCCCAGAACTACATGGGAGGATCTTGTCCATGATCGCAAGGCAGCTGGGACCATAGTCACCAAGAAAACCATTGGTAACACACTACGCCGTGAAGGACTGAAATCCTGCAGCGCCCGCAAGGTCTTCCTGCTCAAGAAAGCACATATACATGCCTGTCTGAAGTTTGCCAATGAACATCTGAATGATTCAGAGGACAACTGGGTGAAAGTGTTGTGGTCAGATGAGACCAAAATGGAGCTCTTTGGCATCAACTCAACTCGCCGTGTTTGGAGGAGGAGGAATGCTGCCTATGACCCCAAGAACACTATCCCCACCGTCAAACATGGAGGTGGAAACATTATGCTTTGGGGGTGTTTTTCTGCTAAGGGGACAGGAAAACTTCACTGCATCAAAGGGACGATGGACGGGGCCATGTACCGTCAAATCTTGGGTGAGAACCTCCTTCCCTCAGCCAGGGCATTGAAAATGGGTCGTGGATGGGTATTCCAGCATGACAATGACCCAAAACACACGGCCAAGGCAACAAAGGAGTGGCTCAAGAAGAAGCACATTAAGGTCCTGGAGTGGCCTAGCCAGTCTCCAGACCTTAATCCCATAGAAAATCTGTGGAGGGAGCTGAAGGTTCGAGTTGCCAAACGTCAGCTTCGAAACCTTAATGACTTGGAGAAGATCTGCAAAGTGGAGTGGGACAAAATCCCTCCTGGTGGCCAACTACAAGAAACGTCTGACCTCTGTGATTGCCAACAAGGGTTTTGCCACCAAGTACTAAGTCATGTTTTGCAGAGGGGTCAAATACTTATTTCCCTCACTGTAGGTCGGCCTAATTTTGTTTAATTTATACCATAAAATACTTTGAATCAATGAATTGAATGGACCCCACTGCAGATCCACTGCGGACCCACCCCGGACCCACGGCTTTATTACAAAACTGGCAACCTCGCTTCGATTCCCCCCCTAATCCCACCCGGGAATCAACCAGGACCCACCATGGATGCCACTGCAGAGCCACTCCGGACCCACTCCAGACCCACAGCTTTCTGATGAAACTTTCGACCACGCTTCGATTCCAGGTCAATCCAACGTCGGTGCCGAACGTTGTCCGAACGGTGCCTTCTCCCCCCCTCTACCTCCGAGGAAGCACGGTCAAGCAAACTCCCGTGGCCAGCAGGGCGCGGGGGAGGTCTTCGTTCGGCAGTGGATTGACGAGGGGACTGCAAACTTAATGATCGTTAGAAATCAAGCTACACATCCGTTGCGGCTCGTGCCACCCGCAGAAGGGGGCCCAGCATTGGCAGCCCATCGCGGGTTGCTGCATGCCGGCGCTGCGAGAAGCGCGAAGACGTTGCGCGTGTGGAAACACGCGTCCGGTGGAAAACCTTGAAGCTCTACCACAAAACCTCACCACACTTCACCCGGAAAAAGAAAAGAATCCGTACGTCACTGTTAAAGTTGTTTTTGTTCTTCCGTTAAATGCTAGTACAGTATTATTGGTGGGTGATGGGTTCGTTGTGCGTAAGCTTCGTGCACCACTGCCAACTCACTCTTGCTTTTTTGCTTTGTCATCAAATCTGAAACTCGACAACGGCATCGTCTTGTCAACGTGGAAAAGAAAAGTCGAAGATGACAAAAAATGAAGATGGCCAAAAAATCCACTGAGCCTCGAAGGTGGCAGAAATTATTAAAGACGGCAGTCGATGAAGCGGCCGATGGCAGTGGTGTGCTAGCAATGCCAAATAGGTCTTGCACGTGCACACTATACACTACACTATACACTACACTATACACTACATTATACACTACATTATATACTACACTATACACGTACATTATACACTTTACTTTACATGTACATATACACTACATTATATACAACATTATACACGTACATTATACACTACACTATACACTACACAATACACTACACTATGCACGTACATTATACACGTTACTATACATGTACATTATATACTGCATTATACATTACACTGTACACTACACTATACACGTACATTATACACTACATTATACACTACACTATACACTACACTATACACTACACTATACACGCACATTATACACTACACTATACACGTACATTATACACTTTACTATACATGTACGTTATACACTACATTATACATTACACTGTACACTCCACTATATACTACACTATAAATGTACACTATACACTACACTACACACTTCACTATACACTTCACTATACACTGCACTACACACTACACTATACACTTCACTATACACTACACTAAACACCACACACGACTGTCACCACGAACACTGCCCTATTCCCACACGTTACACGCGGCCTCGCGTGCAGTGACTACTCCCTGTGCTGTGTTTGCTCGGTGAAAATATGACGCAGAGCAACGCCGTGCGTTCATCACACTGATTTGTTTGACTCTTGGCCGTTCGTTTTCCCGGTCTCAAGATAATGTTTCGAGTAAAAAAGTGCAGCGGGGAGTCTGCTCGTACAGCAGAGCGCACGAGCAGACGGGCGGTTCGGTGCGGTGGGCGCGGCACTCGGGAGGGATCAGAAGAGTAAGATTCAGCAGGACACGTTTGTAGTAGGATGGGCAACGGCAGGAAAATAAAAGGTGCGTAGTAGTTGTTGTTGTTGTTCGGGAAAAATGGAAGGAGCCGGAAAGAGAGGATGACCTAACAGAGAAATGGCTTGACGACGACATCGTAAGAGGTCGGTGCCAGAAAGATGTGGCCACTCCTTGAGCAAGTTGGCGCAAGACGGAGGAAACGTGGAAGCAAATGGACGAAAAGTACGGTGGACACCTCTACGGGGCTATCTGGGCATGGACCGTGGTGATGATGATGATGAAGACGAAGAGGTGCAAATGAAACAACCACGCAAAATCCCACACACACCGAGCAAGCGAGAGAGACGCGCCAGGGGGCGTGTTGTGCAGGTGCTGACCGCGCGTGATCTGCGAGCACAGTTTGTTAGCTGCTGGTGCAGATTTTTTTTATTTTTATTTTTTATTTGACAAGAGCCCCGGGGAAAAGGCACGAACCGTAATAAGAAATTCCGCGGACCGAAGATCGAACTCAGTGCTCCTGGGTTCCGGGACGGGGAGGAGATTGGGCCCTCTGACCCACGCACGTTGGGACTGTGGGTGGGAGCTTCATTTGTTCATGGTAAGGCTCACTGAGCTGTATAGATTTTTTTTCAGAAGCGACCTGGCCACAAATGATTGCTCAAGGAAGTGGCGTATTATTGCGTGGAATTTTATAGCAGCCAAATGCACGAAACGCGTGACGTCATTTCTTAAACCAAAGGACTCGGAGAAAACTCCACGCGACCGCCACGGGGAGAGCGAGAGACACACAAACTCCAATATACAGCAGCAGCAGCCGTCACGGTTGGGATCGAACCCGCGACCTCCTGCGTACCAGGCGAGGGAGTTAACATCTCTTAGCCACCGTGATGATAATGAGAGAGAGAGAGACACGCAAACTCCAAATATACAGCAAACAGGCGTCAGGGTCGGGATCGACCCTGCGACCCTCATTGCCCCTGGCGCTGCCCCTTCCCGTCGTGCCGTCTCGGCATCCGAAGTGACGCGAGTTTTCGCGCCCTAGTCCTCAGAGAACAGCTGGGCCCTCGCGTGTTCTGGTGGGCCACCGGATGAGCGGGGCTTTCAGGCTTTACGCACGGCCAGGGCACACACAGAGATCACGCCGCTCTCTCTCTCTCTCTGCGCCTCCCTTCTCAATCTCTCCCTCCACATACAATTTTTTTTACACATCCCATCAGCAGCCACGGCCTTCTTGGAGCGATTTTTTTTTCGACAGCATCGCTTCAACACAAGCGAAGTCTGTACGCAGTTCTGACATTCGGCGTCCGGCTCGCTTGACCCAGTGCTCGCGAACTGCCGGGTGGTCATAGGCCAGGAGGCTCCCCGTTAGATGCGGGTCCTCCATTCAGCCCCGGACAAGGTCACAATTCAAGATGCCCTCCTGGGCCACCCCTTTGCGATCCTCTGATACTTCCACCTTCGTGAAGAAACGGCGCCTTCGTGTCCCAAATCCACCCGTCGCTTCACGCCGGCGTTGAGGAATGTGGCGCAGAGCAGGGGGAGAAAAATGTGTAATTATTTCAGTCACCCTAAGTTAATGACCGAATTATTTAGCTCGGATGTGTAAATAATCAACTTAATTGCACCAGGCTACGTGATGCCACCGTGGCCCCATGACGGGGGGGGGGGGGGTGTGCAGGGGGGGGCACGAGGGGGGGGGGGGTGAAACATCGCAATATCTCCCCGTCTCTCGCCGTGTGGTGGGAACACGCGTGTGGTGGGAACACGCGTGTGTCCCACAGCAAAAAGCACCTTGATTCAATTTCCGACTCTGTGTTGAGATTGTATGATCTCCCCCTCTTCTGCAGAGTGTGAGTAGTGAGTGGATGGAGTTTGTATGATCTCCCCCTGTTCTGCAGAGTGTGAGTAGTGAGTGAGTGGAGTTTGTATGATCTCCCCCTCTTCTGCAGAGTGTGAGTAGTGAGTGAGTGGAGTTTTATGATCTCCCCCTCTTCTGCAGTGTGTGAGTAGGGAGTGAGTGGAGTTTTATGATCTCCCCCTGTTCTGCAGAGTGTGAGTAGTGAGTGGAGTTTGTATGATCTCCCCCTCTTCTGCAGAGTGTGAGTAGTGAGTGAGTGGAGTTTTATGATCTCCCCCTGTTCTGCGTGGCTCCCCTCCGGTTTCCTCTCAGCGCCCAACACAAAAAGCCTGCACACTGTAAACCGGTATTAGGCCAAACATCCCAATGCTGAATGATTACCTGCGAATCGCTCAACGGGGATTACAGACAGCAGCAGCAGTAGTAGCAGCAGCAACATCGCCTCCAACTGAACTGCGAAGAAACGTGGCAGCAGGAGAAGGCTGCCTGGGGGCTTCAAGAGAAGTTCCTTGTTGCTGAGTATGGGTAGATAAGACTACATTTTTAACTATATGTGAATTGTGGGTACGCTCGACTCTTACAAAATGCCTAGGCAGCTTGGAGGAGGAGACCAAATAGCATATGAAGGTCCCTCTGTAAACGAAACTATTTTTTTATTTTACCAGGTAAGGCCCACTGAGCTATGTAGCTCGTTTTCAGAAGCGACCTGGCCACAATTGATAGCTCAACGAAGATGGCTTGTCGTCGTTTGGAAATTTATAGCAGGCAAAGACTATAAACGCGTGATTTTGTTTCTAAATGTGGAGGGAAAAAACCGGGGGACCCGGAGAAAAATCCACGTGACCACGGGGAGAGAGACAGACACGCAAACTCCAAATATACAGCGGGCGTCAGGGTCCGGATCGAACCCACGACCTCCTGTGTATCTGGTGAGGTAGTTAACATCTCCTAGCCACCGTGGCGAGATGTTAAGAAGGGAGGGGTAGGCGAGGGGCAGGTTTGTGGAGGAACGTGAGGCAGTGAAGGGCGATGTTGTAGTCAGCCGTCCTTGATCGCACCTGAATGCATAGCTTTCCTGCTTCCCTATTATTAAAGCGTTCTCTCACTATTGTACACAACTGCTCCACCCTGTCTGCTATGAATGCCGTTGTTGAAAGGTGGTGTTAATTAAGTGCTTTCAGCCTTTTTACTTGTACACAATTACCAAACCAGTCTCTTGTTTTTTTTACATTGAATTGAGACGATGTGTGTTGTTTGATTTTGTTGATTTTGCTTTCTTCCTGCACCCAATACGGAAAGCACCGGTTCCCAGACTGGGAAATAGTGGCAGCGCTGGAGGCATCAAGGTAATTTCCTATAGGATTGCATGGGTTCCACTTGTGTGTGCGTGTGTGTGGGGAACGCCTTGTTCTGCTCTCCCCAAGTCATGAGAGCTCCATGGGCCTGCAGGCTCGAGTCCGAAGAACACAAAGACAAAGATCGCCTTCAACAGATTCTTTGGGGGCAAATGCTGTTAGCGAGCACCTGTAAAGTCCAGTGCATGCGCACAAACACACACACTCTCATGTATCCGTAGCAGCGGCCGCGATCGTCCTGTCGTATGTTTCACCCCGAGCCCTCTGGCCGCCCCTTCACGTGCTCCGTCTTTGCATTGCAGGTTTCGGCCTGGCTCTGAACCTGCAGCCAGCGCTCACCATCCTGGGCCGCTACTTCGATAAGCGGCGGCCGATGGCGATCGGCCTGGCAATGGCAGGCAGCCCCGTGGTGCTGAGCAGCCTGGCGCCCTTCAACCAGGTGCTGTTCGACGCGTTCGGCTGGAGGGGCAGCTTCCTCATCCTGGCGGGAATCCTCTTCAACTGCTGCCTGGCCGGATCGCTCATGAGGCCTATCGGGCCAAAGAAGGGCAGCGCCCCTGCAGGTACCGCATCAGAAAATCCCCCGTGCTCTGAACACTGAGGTCTGTATTCTTAGGCACGGCTTGGCTCTGGCTCAAGTGAGCTGGCTCAGAGCCACGCTTAACTCTAGCCGGTTCTTCATCACAGTCCCAGCCGTGCTTTGGAATTCCATGAGCTGAGCCTGATGAAATAGCATTCAATCCGAAAATGGCAAAATATGTAACGGAACGCAATTGAATGTCTTGTTTTGGAATGTTCCAAAAGTGCATCCTTGTGGAAATTGGGACATGATGAATTGCAATAACATTCGGGAATGACTGCCCTTGACATGCTTCATAAATTCTGCACATCCACTGCCAGTTGCAAAAAAACGCAGTGGTCTGGTGCCTCCACGCTCGCTGGGCCCCTCGACAGAAGCGAGACAGCTTGGGACAGCATCACTCAGCTCCCTCCGTCAGGACGGCGAGACTCGGCAACCACGCACGAGCAGGGGTCTAGCACGTTGACCACTGCGACCCCTTGAGTAGAGGCCGTTAATCTGACGGTTGATCCTTGAGTGTGGCACAGAGCGTGGGAGGCCTTTGCTGTGCTGTGGCTCAGGGTCGCCACCTTTTCCACCGAAGACCAAACCCAGATATCTCTCAGTTGGCTTAGGCCTATTAAAACCGTGCCGTATGCTGCAATCAATCTCAACACAATACTGGAACTTGATCTCGGCACAAATCGCTTCCGGCCACCCGAACACGGATCTCAGTTCTTGGACTGTCCGGGTCAAACCCATCGGCGCATTGTGAGCTTATTAATAGAGATACAAGTGTTACATCTTAACAGATGACTCTGTTTGTAACTGCGCAGAGAGCGAGGGGTCCAAGGCGGCCGAGCCGGAACCTGGCATTCTGGCCACCATCAGCCGTCTGCTGGACCTCACCCTCTTCCGGCACCGTGGCTTCCTCATCTACCTCGCCGGCAACGTGCTGCTCTTCTTCGGGCTCTTCGCGCCGCTCATTTTCCTGGCGCCGTACGCGAAGCACATGGGGGTGGACCAGTACTCGGCCGCTTTCCTCCTCTCCATCCTGGCGCTCGTGGACATGGTGACGCGCCCGCTCACGGGCATCCTGGGAAACCTCAAGTTGGTGCGCCCGCGCATCCAGTACCTCTTCAGCTTCTCGCTCATCTTCAACGGCTTCTGCCACCTCATGGGGCCCATGGCCACGGACTACGGCGGCCTCGTCATCTACGCCATCTTCTTCGGCATCGCGTTCGGCATGGTGAGCGCCATGCTGTTCGAGACGCTCATGGACCTGGTGGGCGCCGCCCGTTTCTCCAGCGCCGTGGGGCTCGTCACCATCATCGAGTCGTGTCCCGTGCTGCTCGGCCCGCCCATCGGAGGTGAGCGACTCGCCGGGGGACTCGCCGGTTCTCAACGCTCAACGCTCGCCGCTTGCCGCCCGTAGCGCGAGGGTTGATGCAGTTCGGGAATTTCGCGATGCGACGATGATCGCGGTGACATCGGTTCACGGTTTTCTGGATAACTTTGCGCCTCCCATAGGATCCCCATGATTTCGACGAATGTTCAAATCTTGCCCATAATAGAGGTTTTTGGGTTAGATCGCGTCAATATATAAAAGTGTCGTTAAAACCCGCCACCACCCGACGCAGACAACTAGTAAGGGTTGTCACGTAAACAGAACGTGGCCAATTCGTCACTAGTACAGCACACCAATGTGTTGGAGAGCCAAGCCACAACATTTACAAACTGAGTACGACGTTTTGCCAGTAATAACAACTAGCGTCATCAGGAGACAGCCAGATTTGTGGAGAAGTCTTACTGTTTCGTTCCTTATATAGAGGCGTAGGTGTGTTGACCACCCTTCTGCGCTCTTTGAATCTCTGCAACCCTTACTAGTTGGCTGTGTCGGGTGGTGGCGGGTTTTATATATTTATGCGATCTAACCGAAAAATCTCTATTATGGATGATATTGGTCGTGAAAGCCTACTACGTGTTCAAATTTTGATTAACGGTAGTTTACGTTGTGCACGCGGGTGCCAATTTCGGCCTATTACTACCGCTCGGAATAATGCATCGAACATGTAATTCCTATATTCGATCAGCAGTTAGTTCGGTGAACAGTAGTTTTCATGGAAGGGATTAAAAACTCTAACCGAGGAGTATCAGTTTGTGATCGTAATTGATCGTTGACACTCCCCACCACCAACAACAGTCGAATAAATTATAGTGCCAAGTGGGGTAATGTTTTAGCGTGCCATTGTTGCTTCAGCTCACATTAGCGATGTTTATACACATTTATACAAACACACATTTACGTGGGTAAATGTACGTATCATTTTACGGCATAAATAAACGTTATATATTAAATTGTCATACAATATATGTTGATTGGACCTTTTGGTGAAAAAAAAAATCCGTGAAGTAAATTTAGATTTTTTATTCTACTGAATGCTAACTAAAATGCATGGTGGAATTCCACATTCCTCTGGCGGGGGGGGGGAGGGCGCACCATAGGACAACCACTGTTGACTTCCCCACAAAGTGGTATCTATTTAATCAAACCCCAGAGAGAGGGGATTATGGTCTGAGTCAACCCACTCACCGACCCCTGAGTCCAAAAACGAGGATTTTATCTCGCAAGTTTTTAGACTGCGAACCGCTCGCCGCTCTCGCGCTGAGCCACCGGGCTGATAACGTGACCGCGCGACGTCGACCATTCGCCGTTCGCGACAACTTTTTTGAGCCGCGCGTTTCGCCCCGGCAGGCATGCTGGTGGATGTGACGGGCGAATACAAGTACATGTTCTACGTGAGCGGCGCCATCCTCTGCGTCGCCGGCATCTTCCTCTTCATCGCCAACTTCATCAACTACCGCCTGCTCGACCGCGAGCGCGAAGCGGCCGAGCGCGGCACCGAGCTCGCCGAGGCCGCCAGCTTCCTCAACGGGCCGGGCTCCGCCGAGGGGGCCCGGGGAGGGCCGCCGGGGTCCGAGGCCGGGGCGGCAGGGCCTGTGCCCCTGGCCCCCGGGGAGAGCAACGCGTAGTGCGTGTGCGTGCGAGTCGCGGTGGTTGGCGTTGGGTGGGGGGCCGGCGGGGAGAGCCCGGCCACGAGCGCCGCATTGCTACAACGTAATGAAGGCCCTAAAGGTTTGCCCGACACATGCATCTAGCAAAGAGGACAGCAGCTCAAGTGCATGTACGGCAACGCCGTCACCCATCTGGTGCCAGTGTCGCCCGTACGGGTGTCACTGTCGCCAGCACGGTGCCACCGTTGCCCGTACATTGCCACTGTCGTCCATATGGTGGCAGTCACCCGTACTGTGTTACCGTCACCCACATGGTGCCACTGTCGCCTGTACGGTGTCACTGTCCCCTGTACAGTACCAGCCACCTGTACAGTGTCACCGTCGCCTGTACAGTATTACTGTCCATAATACGTAAAGATTTTTGGGTTAGATCGCGTAAGTGTGTTAAACCGGTGGGCTGAAGAAGTAACTAATTGGCACTTTGTTAACGTGACACATTTTTTACTGATTGGCCGTGTCAGGTGGTGGAGGGCTGCGACACATTGATACTTACGCGATCTAACCCAAAAACCTTTATTATGAATAATACTGGTCGCGAAAGCCTACGTGTTAAAGTATTACTGTCACTCTTTGTGTTACTGTCTCGTGTACAGTGTCACTGTCGCCTGTACAGTATTACTGTCATCTGTACAGTGTCAATGTCATCTGTGTGACATGTTTCGCAGCTCATCGAGTTGGGTCCGTGTGGGACGTAACTGGAATGTCACCGCTCTGTATTGCCCTTTACAGTTATGCGAATTTAACATCAACGCTGCTACCGAGCGCAAAACAGTAGCAAGGTGGCCTCCGGAACGGAAGGTTCGAACCGGGACGGTTTGGCCAACTGCTGGCACTAACGCACTGCCCACGTAGCCAACCTCAAGGGCTTCCTGGGAGTTTTCGTGCATCGGTGGACATTTCATTAGCTGATAGTTATATCTGAGTGTTTAGATTAATGAGAACCGAGTAAATGAGAAACCATTATTAACTGTTGAAAGAATCAAGTAAGATATTGCATGCATTTGTCACTCGCAGGAAACATCACCCGTGTGCCCTGAGATTGGGTTAGTTTATTTTGCAATTACATTGAGTAAATTGTGAGTGATGACCACGACATAGTTCTCAAACGTCCTTCAATTCATCCCCTGATTTGCAAATCTGCTACATTTTTTTTTAAATGTGGCAGATTTACACATTTAGGGCTTTCTGCCTTGGCTCTCAGTTGTGCCATTTGGCCAGGACAACACGGATCTGGGTTGCGATTGCGGTGGCGGGTTTAACGGTACATTTATATGTACGTGATCTAACCCAAAAAACCCTCTATTAAGGGTTGCGATTCTTTGCCAAATTAAATGGCCGGATGGTCAGATAGTTGCATACACACACAAATTCAACACGTAGGCTGGCAAAATCGCCCGATGAAGCTGGTTGTAATTACCAGCGAAAAGAACGTCGTACTCAAGTTATAAATGTTGTGGGTTTTCTCTCCAACACACCGGTGTATGCTTAAGTAGTAACTTATTGGCACGTTTTGTTTACGTGACAAACCTTACTTATTGGCCGTGTCGGGTGGTCGTGGGTTAACAACACATTTATATTTACGCGATCTTACAAAAAAGAAACCTTTATTATCTCTAACGACGAATTGAACACGAATATTTTTTTAATGAATAGCTAGAAAATCACCTGCAAGGCTGTTTGGTTAATCTAGGAGTTTAATTCATTTTATCAATGCGCTTTTTAAAAAAAAATAATTTTAAGAATTTCTGCATTTTTCGTCGTGTTGTGCCGTTTATTCTTCGCCGGCATCTTTTTGGATGGTTATTTTCCGTCGCAAAGGGTGTTGAGAAATGTTAGATCGTGTTATCTCAATTTCCCGATTTGATAAACTCCGTATCTCTTTATTGTATGACACATTATTCTGTTTGAATGTCCTGCCAATGAATACGAAACCAAAACCTCAAGTGTAATTGAAAGCGGAGTACAAGAGGCGATGCCATGGATTTGAGAGATATGAAAACACTAGGTAAGAAACATTCTATATTTTATGAACACCGTAACATTTCCTACATTAAAGTATATATTTGTCTCTACAATTTTTGGGTTTTAAGTCACAAAATCAGAAGAAATTTGTAATTTTATAGCTATGGAGTAAGTGCCACTACTGGGGCCGCCACGGTGGCGAGATGTTTACTCCCTCGCCTGTATTACAGAAGGTCGTGGGTTCGACCCCGACCCTGACGCCTGGTGCGTGGATTTTTCCCATCCACATGGAGAAACGTGGGTTTCGTACATTTGGCTCCCATACGTTTTCACACGATAAGCCACTTCGTTGAGCTATCATTCGTGGCCAGGTCGCATCTGAAAAAGAGCTGTATTGCTCAGTGGGCCTTACCTGGTAAAATTAAAAGTTGAGTTTATTATGGCGAAAAGCGGTAAAATATTCCACCTGTATGGTCTTAGATTAAAAACGTGGAAATTTGGGTTGGCTGAAAAATATTCCTGGGGCCAGAGGCAGCAAGTGCATGCTTAGGGCCCAGGCAGCTGTCCCATGTCGATGTCTAAGCCCAGCACCTGGCCCACAAATCATTTGAGGAAAATTAATAATACAAAAATTTGCCCAGTGCAGAAGCATCGAGTCGACCGCAGAACCGCGTGCTTGGCGTGAGAACTGCGATCGCTGAGAGAACGCAGCGTCCGGAATGCGTTGCAGGTGACGCAATATGTTGCAACATCACTGGACATCTGTGAAGGAAGAGCTTTATAGCTCGTCGGATTCTTCCAGCTATAAATAAATATTCTGATTCTGTGTGTGACCGAGACGAGTTGGACTGGAGCGAGTGTGACTGGAATGAGGGGCGTGACACAGCTCCGCACCGATAGCTTCAAAACATCCATTGCTGTGGCTCCCATCTCGTGCCCACCTTTGCAGACAGCCACAATCCTACAGCGTATGTTTATTCTCAGGCAGTTTGTCTACTCAATCACGAACCAGGCTCAAGCCTGTTGGCATTGTCAATGCAACATTCTTCATGCGGGGCGGGGGGGGTATACATTAATCCAGAGCCAGATCAAGGGAAATCCCCTCCATCCCTCCTATCCAGTCACACCCTGGGTGAGACTCATTACGGCAAACTGTCACACTTTAGTGTTGCAGGGTTTAATGTTGAGGACTGAGGTTCAGAGTGTGGGAAAGGAACGTTGTCTAGTTCGTGAGAATACATTTTGTTATTTGATCGAATTAAAGATCAATGTTGGACATTCCAAAACAACTCCCTCGTGCTCAGAGAACGTGGTTCTTTCTGTCATACACAAGAGCAATTATTAGTAATGCTAATATGTATATTGTCAATTTAACAACTTAACAGCCCTTAGTAATAAGCGGCGTGTTCTTGTACAGCCTGATTTGTCTTTGTGATGTCAGCTTGGATCAATAGCCCCTTGGTGCTATAAATATTTAGAAACACGCGTTTAGAGTGTTTGGCTGCTATAAATTTCCACGTCATAATCCACTTCGTTCAGCTGTCATTTATGGCCAGGTCGCTTCTGAAAAAACTACATAGCTCAGTTGGCCTTGGCTGGTAAAATAAACAAAAATAGTTTAATTTTAACTGTGATGTGATACACCTCTGCAATTATTTAGCTTGGACAATTATATTATTTATACCTCTACCCTATTGGCGTGCAGACATTTTCATGCCATTTGTAAAACTTCTACTGATGCATGTTAATAGTTTAGAAAAGGGACAGTACAAGGAACCTCCCTTCCCATGTCAAGACAAAAGTGTGCATTAACTTTGAAAGGACCGCATGTAACCAAACATGCACGTGTGATTTAAGATTATAACTGACCAGGGTTAATGAAATCTCTATTGGAATGAGAACCTTGCTAAATGCCACACACTTCGGTCTTGGCGTACGCTGGGGACCCGCACGTCCCTGCGGGTGTCTGCGCGATGCCAGCTGGACCCGCACGTACTCGCGCCTGATGGATCCGCATGTATTCGTGGGTACCCACGCATTGGTGAATAGCTTCCGCCATCAAAGTAATCGTCGTACAAAGGTGTAACAACCGTGCTGCCTTAACGCTTCCTGTAGCCACTCGCCTCTGCTGGATGTTTCAAATTTTGAAATCCAGAGACCAGTGCCGTTTCAGCAGATTTAGATGGACAAGAAAAACTATTCTTTATAAAACGTGAAATTCTGAAACTACCGTTTGATTTCTTTTTATACCCTAAGAACTTGCACATGTCTCACAAGAATGTTGATCTATGATTAAGCGAATTAACGATGGCCGTTTGCCACCGTGATACATTTAACAAGGTGCAATGCACGCATGTTTTTGGGGCAGAGCCGATCTTTGGGGCCTATTCGTGTCTAGGCCAGGGGATGACAACTTGCGGCTCGGGTGCCGCATGCGGTGGGCTCTTTTGCTTAATGAAGATAAGAAGCAAGCCATTACACGTGACAAGGAATGGGTCGCTGTGGAATGTCTCGGTGATGACAAAATGCGTAGTATTGTTCAAGAACAAGGTGGGGGAGGGGGGGTGGATAACAAAATTAAATAGACGCAGTTTATGCCTTCACCTATTCTGTTAAAGTCCGAGTTAGTTTGTCATCTGCTGCATACCCGCTCCTCTGTTCGTGTGGTGCTGGCCACCCACGTCCTCGTGCGTCTTGCCAGGCCATCGTAGGAACTCGCTAACAGCACTTGCCCCAACAGCCTGTTCAGGCTATACGGGGGATCTTTGTTTTGCTAGGACAGAGATATATGCAGGATAGTTGCCTCTCGAGATGTACAGCTGGTGGTGATTTATACCCTTAGAAACCGATCAGCGAGGTAATTAGTATGCACGAAACCTAAACACATCCCTGTAATCCTGCATTTTTACTGCTTGACCCCGAATAATAAAAAAAACCCTGGCTAGAATGTGGAGAAACACGTGACTCTGACTTGTTTACTAGTTACTGAACTTGATTCTCGCATTACATCTCTGCACACGGGGCGAGTAATTGTAACCACGTCAGCCACCACTGTTTACAAAACCTGCACTTCTGCACATTCACCCGGCGAAATTAGATTTGTATTTTTTTTAATGGCCGAGTACTGCACAAGGATTGTGTAAAGCAAAACGTATTACCTCAGGTCCAGGTGGCAGAATTTGCGTGTGATGTACCATTGCTATAGGGAAGGGCAAGAGTCGACGTGACTCCAGTCATCGTCACCACGATCTGTAGGCAGATAAGCCCATAAAGTGAGTGTCCACTGCACGTGCCGTCATTTATTGTTTCCACTTTCACCTCCGTCTTGCAGTTTCCAATCTGCTGAAAGTAGTGGCCACGTCTTTCCTGCAACCAAATCTCTTACGATGTCGTGAGTCGTCAGGTCAATTCTCCTGTTGGGTCTCCCTCTCTTTCCGGCGTACTTCCATGTTTCCCCCCAAACAACACCAACAACAACAACACCGCACTTTAATTCTCATTTTGTTGTCCATCCGACATGTGTCCAAGTGGTGCCAGTGTCCTCGTCACGGCCCGCATCATCAGCCTGCCTTCTTCTTTCAGGCTGCCTTCTATGCTGCAACCTTTTTATTCCTTTTACGTGTCCAGGACAAACTCTTTATTCGATGTAAACTCTCTCACTCCATGTGACCCCTAAACGAAAGCGATCTCTCCTCCTCCTCCTCCAGAGCAGCAGCAATGTCTCTGCCACCCAGGGCTGTTATTATCCAATAGGCACAGAAGGTACTATGCCTAGGGCCTACGGAAACTATAGGGCCTGCGAAAAACATATTTGTACTACGTTCTTTTGTTTGTATGATAAAAAAAACACGTGAGAATAGGTTTCCACTTGTTTCTGGTAACAAAAAAAACTTGAACAAAAGATTTATAGAGCAATGATATTGGCACAGTGTATACACAAGGAGGCAGTCATGTCAATCGGTTTTTTGTTCATAAGAGGAGAGAAATGAACGCCGGAGATGAACTTTTCGAGATTTTATCAAATTGAAAAATTAGCAAGTAAAATCTTAAAATTATGTTTTTTGGACAACCTCATATCTCAACAGAGAGTAGTGCAAGAGAAGACAAAGGCGTTGTTGTGCTGCGCGTGAAACAAGCGGAGTGACAGCGGCGGTCGTAGCAACATGGGGCGGCAGTTCCAACCGTAGAGAGTGATCACTGAAGGCCGACGAAACACAAGTGCCTTGGGCCAACAAGAACGTTAATCCCGCCCTGCTGCCACCGTCGAACCAGCCAAGAAACCTCTCTTCTCTCTCCTCCCTTCGTTAAAGCAACCTCCCTCCCCCAGATCAGTTGGCTGCTGGCTGGCCTGGTCGAGTGGCAAGACAAACTAGCACCCACCACAAGGGGACAAACTTAAAAACACATCGGCAAGCCACGGTTGTAATGCAATTGTGGGTGGGGGGTAAAGGACAAAAAAATCGACAAAACAAACCATTTACCGATCGCTTTCTATGACTGTACAAAAAACAAACCCTCTTGCTAGACAGAAATAACATGCCACGCCACCAGGCATCTCGCTGGGAGTGTTTGTGTGCGCGCGCCGGTTTGAAACATTAAGGCAGAGGTGTCCAAACTCTTTTTCCCGAGGGCCACATACAGAAAAATAAACGAAGGACTGGGCCACTCACTAGACGTGAGGCATACTGCCTCACTTCTCATGTACTAATATTGGCAAAATCAATCAAAGGTAGGTAAATTACGTTTGATAATTGAACATGTTTGAAGAAAAAAAAGCCTCCATCATTGCTCTCCATTAGTAGATTTTCATTTTATTTTTTGCAAAAAGGTTTATTTTTGCAAAAAGGTTCATTGTCCTGTATGAAGGGAGAGACAAGAAGAGAAATAGGGGATGTGGATATTTCAAGCTTATTACACAAATAAATTATTGGGCTTGTTAACACATCAACTAACGTTTGTTAAAAAATTGTCATCAACTTTAATTGACTGAATTTATTAAGTAATTGGGCTTATTAACAAATGAAAACTGCGTGTATTTTTTAACTCCCCTGTAATGGGAAGAATGTTGCGCTCAGTGGGAGCAGTGATGCTGCGCTTTGGTCTGAAGGATAGCTGGCAGGTCAGGAGTAAGTTTGGTGGTTGAGATGCGAAGGACGTCACGGAGATGGCTGTCGGTCGTTCTGGTTCTCAGCCTGCTTTTGTTCAGCGTTAACAGAGAGAATGTCTGCTCACAGATGTATGTTGAGCCGAACAGACTCATCATTCGTTTTGCGTGGCGTCTCGTCAGAGGAAACTTGGCCTTTTCCAAGCTCCGGTAGAAGTCAGGTAGGGAGAGAAGCTGATGCTGATTCTTCAAAGAATCATCACACTGAATTTCGATCAGTTCTAATTGCAGACTCTCCTCCACTTCTTCTGCATCCATTGCAAACGGAGCCACAAACAGTGTGATTTCCTTCTCAATGATAGAAAAATCTTGGAAGCGCTGACTGAATTCTGTCATGAGAGATGTGATCACAGACACATATTCTCCCATTTTTGCAGAGAGCTTGGCATTTGGAAATGCGCATTTGATTTGGGTCAGCGTGGGGAAGTGCGCTACATTGAAGTTGCGCAGTTGTGACTCGAAGAGACGGAGCTTCGCACGGAATGCTTTCATGTGCGCATACAGCTGTGGTACCAGCTGCTCTTTGCCTTGTAGTCTCTTGTTCAGGGTGTTGAGATGATCAGTGAGATCAACTAAAAATGCCAGGTCTGCCAACCATAAAGGGTCACTGATCTCATGGAGAGGTCTGCCCTTTTCCTTCAAAAACTTGTCCATATTTGATCTCAGGGAATAAAACCGCTGCAGCACGGAGCCACGACTGAGCCAGCGCACTTCAGAATGGTAGAGTAGGTCCCCGTATTCAGCATCGACATCAGAGAGGAACGCTTGAAATTCTCTGTGGTAAAGCCCTCGTGCACGAGTTATGTTGACAGTTTTCACAACTGTGTTCATCACATCGCCAAGCTGGATTATCTTGGCACAGAGGGCTTCTTGGTGGATGATACAGTGCATTTTGACAGCCTCACCTCCGCTCTCCCGCACCTTGGCACTCACCGTAGAGGCCATTCCTTTGCGCTCGCCTGTCATTGCTGGAGCCCCATCCGTTGTGATTCCACACAGCTTGTTCCATTTAAGTCCAGCCTGGTCAATTGCATCTGACACAGCTTCAAACATTTCCTTCCCAGTTGTTGTCCCCTTTAGACTCCGAAGATCGAGCAGTTCCTCCGTTATGCAAAAATTCTCATCAACTCCCCGCAAAAAAAAATTAACAGCTGTGCAGTGTCCGTGGCATCTGTGCTCTCATCACATGCAATCGAGTAAAAATCGAAAGCACAAGCTTTATCTGACACTTGCTGTTTTAAGTTAGCCGACAAGTTTTCATTTTGCCGCACAACCGTATTTCTGGACACACTAACATGGTTTAAATCCTGCATTTTCTCCGGGCACATTATTCCCACGACTTTAGTGAGGCGCTGTTTTATGAAGTCACCGTCTGAGAAAGGTTTCCCGTGTAGGGCAATGAGTTGAGCTACTTCATAACTAGCTATTGTTGCATTTTCTTGAGCTGTGTTAGCACTGAAAACAACCTGCTGCTGCGTTAGCAGGCTAGCTGGCATTTGCTTTACCTTCTCTCTCCGCTCGGCGCCAGTGTAGGACGTGAAGGTCTGATGTTTCGTTTCATAATGCCGTCGTACATTGTACTCTTTCATCACGGCAACACTCTCATTACAAATCAAACACACTTCCCCTTGGTTTCTATGAAAAAATATTCATTTTTCCACCGAGTCTGAAATTTTCTGCACTCGCTTGCAATCTTGCGTCTCTTCGGTTCCGGCATTTCTGGTGACCCTAAGCAATTTTTTTCTTCGATTGCTTGCTTTGTGGAGACGCTGCCTTGTTCAAGACAATAGCGCCACCTAGTGTTTAAACTAAGAAGTGCAATACAGTGGGCCATAGTCCATTATATTTTTAGACTTTGATACGGGCCAATTAAAAATGGGGCTACACGGGCGCGTTGTGACATGTGTAGTTTATAGATTGATGGGGCTACACGGGCGCGTTGTGACACGTGTAGTTTATAGATTGATGGGGCTACACGGGCGCGTTGTGACATGTGTAGTTTATAGATTGATGGGGCTACACGGGCGCGTTGTGACACGTGTAGTTTATAGATTGATGGGGCTACACGGGCGCGTTGTGACACGTGTAGTTTATAGATTGATGGGGCTACACGGGCGCGTTGTGACAAGTGTAGTTTATAGATTGATGGGGCTACACGGGCGCGTTGTGACACGTGTAGTTTATAGATTGATGGGGCTACACGGGCGCGTTGTGACACGTGTAGTTTATAGATTGATGGGGCTACACGGGCGCGTTGTGACACGTGTAGTTTATAGATTGATGGGGCTACACTGGCGCGTTGTGACACGTGTAGTTTATAGATTGATGGGACTACACGGGCGCGTTGTGACATGTGTAGTTTATGTCACAACCGCAGCATGGCTCTTCCATGTCACATTATGATGAATGCGGCAATCCGCGTGATACCGAGAAAAGAAGCCTCACTGAGTCTCGACTTTTTTTTAGTGGGGGAGTCCTGCCAAATTTTCGCAGTAGGTGGCGATGTAGCTGCTGCTGCTGCGTATGATAATAATAATACCCAAGGAGTCATTTGCAGGTAATATTTTTTGCATTTGGATGTTTGACCAATGGCCGTTTTCATCATGTTGTTTTTAGCTATGGCAGGATACAGACAACGAGAACACACAGCACACTGCAGGGAGCCCGAGTCACTGAATGTCTAATCCGGCTCAGAGTTGTGATTGTGTGTTTGGCCCCTACAAGTCCTGGAAAAAGGTGTCAGTACACCTCCACACCTTACCTCCACCACACGTTGGGTCTTTAACACTCTGG